TTTACGTACTTTGATATAGTCAGTCAAAATTGGCGCAATATTGCGCTTACTGATGAATGGATTTACAATGGAAGATGAAGTACCAAATATCGAATCCTGTCATTGAATTTAATCGATGATATAATCTTTGTACACAACACTCTATTTGCTTTACTTTTCTCCGTTCAGACAGGGCTATAAGTACAGGTCACATGACCAGGAGTACAAGGACAGTTTGTGGAAAAACAGAGCAAATGGTTTGGTATTATTTTAGTAGTTAAATACGCGCCTTGTAGATTTTGTTACTTCAAATCTTATTTTCATATATTATTGTTCCTTGAAATCAACATTACAATAATTATTTATTCACAAATCACAGGAAATTCCATTTTGTAAAGGTATGAAGTAAATGTTAACTACTATCTAAAATTTTGAGCTAAACCAAGAAATAATTTTAAGGTTTTTGAAAATGGTACTATGTGCAAACACAAAAAGCTCTTATTTTTAATTCCAGGGTTTGTGTACATGTATTGAGTCTAAAAACCGACTTTCTTGTAATTTTGTTTAGTTGAACAACATCGACCGTGTTTTAACCCTAACTGTTCCACTTGCTTTTTAGCTTTGTCCTTTTCGTGCAAATATACTTCAAAAGTGTTGGAATTATACAATTGTCACTATGAAAATATTTATTATTTGAAACATTTTTATTGTCCGAAGATTCATTCAATCTATACTTTTCTAATCAACCAATAAAGGGTTTTGCAAACTTTGCACACGGACAAATAAAGTGAAGTTCTCCCACTATTTCAGAGTTTTTTTGTATTAGCTGAGAATTAATAAGCATTATTAAGAATGGATGATGAAATACTCGGGAACTGCATGCACATGTTACAAAACATTTTGCTTATAGAAAAAAGTTATGTTTTGAAAATTTAGTTATATATGCATTTTGGAGTCATATGTTTAACGTAAACGAATACGAAGCACCATTCTTACATCATAGTTCTATTGCTACTAAACGAACTATTCTCAAGTACATTCATACAAAAACAGGTTTAGTCAACTTATTAAATACCAACTCCCATAAGCGTAACTGAAATAATGAGCGACATTTTGTAATAACTTTGAAATTATGCTCGAAATAGGAATTTGAACAGTGAGCTTTACTATAAAGATGTTTCCAAATCTCTGAGCCACATAAAATCAAGTTTCCACTCCTAAAATCACGTTTCGGTTTTTTTTTGTAAAAAATGCGTTATTTTTGATAGAAGTTGGTAAATGTTGCTTCATTATTATCTTACATAGCGTGCATCACACTCACATTTGAACTCCTATGAAATTGCTTAATATTTGTGCAGGCTGAGATTTTTTGCAGATGGGTGATAAAATAATTTTTTTTAAATGTAAAGAAAAAACTGAAGGCAAAAATAAACTCTCAGTGATAGTTTTAGTTCCACCTCCAGGGAATTTTAATTGAGGAACATATACACGGCACTAGGTAGGGCCAGAAGGTTATCTAGTTTCTTTATAGTGGATAAGCCTTTTTACCAACATACCACTGACCGAAACCGTAGACATTGCTATTGATTTAATTTTTACCAACAACCCTACATTCAAAATGAGCAGAACGGAACTAAAACTATTGTTTAACATCACTACGGCCGAGACTCATTTTTATTTAACGGTAAGTACTACTGACCAAATTACAAGGGGTATAATTACTCTTAAAACCCACCTAGCCAACATTTTCGGGTTTTCACGAACGAACTGGTTAAATAACTACAGCAACAACAAACCTTTATTTTACCGCAGATACGTTGACGAAATTTTTGTATTTTATAACAAAGACGAAGCATTACTCTTTTACGAATACATCAACAAACAACATCAAAGCATAAATTACATGTACAAACCGAACAAGACAATCAGTTACCCTTTCTTGACATCTTACTAACTAAATCACATGAAAACTGTATGACCTCTACGTACCACAAACCAACATATACAGGACTACTGACTAACTTTCTTAGTTTCACACCATTAAATTACAAAATTGGACTGATACGAACACTGACCGACAGAGCACGGAAACTCAACAACACAAACATCGGTTTTCAACGCGATTTAAAGAAACTAATATTCACTCTCCAACGTAATTCTTTTCCTTTTCATTTCATCAACAACACTATACAACACTATTTAGACAACAAGGAAAGCACTGACTCATCTAACTCCACAACTAACACTAACGATATACAACAACCTGACAATAAACGTTATTTCAAACTACCTTACATAGGTGATTACTCACGACACAAACAACGCAAACTCA